TTCTTGATTATCTGGGTTATTCAGTCTTTTTTTGCATGATTTATCTAGTTATCTGATTACCTAGTTATTAGTTATGATAAATTAAATCGCTTGCTTAAATGTCATTTAAATTAATCAGTGAATAGGACATGAGATGTTCGTATGTTTTGGTTGTTATTTGGAGAATCTAAATAAAGAAAAGTTTACTGGGCATCCTGAAAAAATGTGGATAGATTCGGTATATAGGAAACTTACCGTGGACATTACCTCAGTCAGACGGGGCTGAGAAGTCCCATACACTAAGGATTTTGGAAGATTTGGTTCACCTTCATACCAGACGGGATATCGAGGCGATGGTGTTTTTAGCGCCTATTACCGGACGAGGTATGAGAACAGCCGAGTTAATTGTCAATTCTTAATACTAGGTCTACGAGGGAAGGGATATCCCTGTAGACCCTCAGGGTTCCTAGTAAGTAATTCAAAAAATGAAGAATTGTGATCCTATGAATGAAATTAAAATATCATTTAATTATTTATCTTCATAAGTTGATTTTGGAAAAACCATAATGGTAAGTATCGAATAAAAAGTTTTAAAATCAAATGTATTTACTTAAAGCAATGGCTCCATTAGTTTTTTTATGATTTTTACCAACTTTTGATTTTTCGTATTTGTGGTTAATGTGATATTCTAACTGCACTAGTATAACTCACCCTTTCATTAACCATTTTAAATCAAGAAAACCAAGATTTAGATCTCGATTAGTAAGAGAGTTGTGAGTAGTTCATCTCTTAGACTCTTTTCAAGTGCTAGTGGAGGTTATCCTAAAATACTTATTTATTCTTTTTTTCTTTAATTACCGTTTGTCTTTTAGAAGGGGCATTCTCGTAGCCCTATTGAAAAATTCAAATTATTGTGTAAGAAATATAAACCCGAACTTTATTATTTGCTTACGCATTTAAATTATGAATTCATTTTTATTTAAGTTCTGGGACTTTACAAAATCAATGAATGCATTTTAAATTTCATTTAATTGGATAATATTTAAAATTTACTACAACTACAAAAAAAACCTTATAATAATAGTTTCTAGTTAGTTTTATGTCAATATAACTAATCATAGAACTATATTCTTTTCTTGTATTTGTGAAGTTTATGCAAAAGACTATTACAACCATCAGAATAAATTTACAAGACCTTTACAAACGAAATTTTCCATTTATATAACCCATGAACCTATACCACCAACTCATTCCTTTTAGAGAAGTTTTCCCTTTTATAAAGGTCATGAAAATATATTGAAGAGATTTTCGATTGGTATAACTGTAGAGAGATCATGAAATAAGCTTATGGAAGTAAAGAAAAAAACCAAGATTCACAAACTAAGAACAAATCCATGAAATTAGAGTCTAAAATTGAAGCAATAGAGCATGATTAGTGAAAAGAGAACAAATCTTGGGTGGTGGCATAAAAACTATGCTAAGTGGCAGTACATAAGTGCCACCAAGGTGAAAAAACAAGTAGTTTTATTTGTATGTATATATATATATATATTTAAATAGTGTAAAATACAAATATTTAACAATAAGGTGGAGGGAGACAAGTTGATCTTTTAGAAGTTGAACTCATTCATAGCCCATTTGTCATTGGTTTGTCTTCTTATTAACATGTATAACACAAATTTTTTTTTTTTATGACAACAAAAAACATATTAGTTGATATGGGTAGACTAAAATATGTATGTTATAATTTTAGCTGTAGTATCTAAAAGTATACGTGACATTAAATTTGACAATATATAAAAAACGTGACATGACACATAGCGACAAAACACAATGTTTATACAGAAATAACAAAAAAATATATAACAATCCAATCAATCAAATCTCATTAGATAACTAATCATATAAAAATTTAGTTAAAATATTTAATCACTAATAAGTGATATGATATATCTATCCATAATGTTATCATTGTCGAAGTTATGATCTT